GTCTTTCAGTTTTCCCCGGTCATCAAGTTGAACGGGAATTATAAAAACTTATTTTGATATTGCTGTTCTTTAATAGAAAGTTAGAAGTGGCTTGCTATTTTAGAGCAAGGCAGAAAGTTTCTTCCCTTAAGTCCAATGGCGGGGGGGAATCAAACTAATAATGACAGCTAGATAACTAAACAGATCCTTCTGCTGGTCAATCAGTCCATCTTGTTTCCCAAGGGGACAAGTGCACCTATGTTATTCCACAGAAAAACCTATCTATACTATTCCAGTAACATAAACCCCTTAAGCAATCTATTCCAGTGCTTCACTACATTTACTACCATAAATTTTGTTTGATACATAATCTGAATCTTTCTTGTTGGATTTCTACTTTATTATTTCTTGTTTTAACAGGTTGTTTTGTTGGGTTTTTTAAACAGATTTCTTTTAGATTTTAAGAATGTATCCTGTCTCCCCTTAGTGTTCTTTTCTGTAGACCACGCAAATTCTCTTTTCACCTTTTCTTTGACAGTCTAGTTTCATAGCCTTCTCACCATTCTTATTGCTCTATTGTAGATGCTCCACTTGTCTCCTGAAGAGCTGTGATTAAACTGAACACAATACTGCAACCAAAGCTACATGCCAACTGAACAAAGCAAGAATATTCTACATCCTCCATACAACATTCCTGTTTTACACTGCAGTATGGTGTTCAGCTATTCTGCAATATCATTTGTTGTTTTATACAACAAACCCTAGAGCCTATTCTAAGTAAAAGTTATTTGATCAACTGTTTCTTATCTTCTTGTTCTGCATTTGTACATTTGATATTTTTTCAAAGGTACAGTGTCGTACCTTTTCTTACATTGCATGTTATTTCTTTAGATCAATTCCCCAATAGGTCAAGTTTTGAATTGTACTCCTGTCCTCAATTGCGTTTGCAGTTCCACCCCCACCAAACCCAGTTCACTTGGTCTGCAAATTTAGTCAGGATATTTTCTGTTCCATTTTTCAGATCATTAATGACAACATATCCCAGCAAAAGCCTATCCAATATATCTGCAAATTTCCAATCCGTTTTCCATTAGTTTAGGAAAGTTTCCGTCAGGCCAGATTTCATTTCATTTGAAATACAGACATTGTATTTTCTTTTCCCTTCTCTAGACTGTGGTCTTATATCTTCGTAACAAGTATTAATTTTCCTAGCTATCTGTCTGGAGTTTTACTATACCAGTGAAGGACTGTAGAAATAAGTATTCCCAGTATTATCTGTCAGTTATCTCCTCTCTACTGAACATCTAATCAGTGCATTCTTCGTAACCTTACTACAAACATAGAATGACTGCCTATTTCATTTACGACCCTTCCTAACTATTTTGAACCTCATCTTTCCAATTCTGTCCAAATATGCCTGTGCTCATCTATATTCAAGCTCAATAATCTAAGTAATTATTTGGTTTTAGCTTCCCTTCTGTTTGGGAGCACAGAACCAGTAGCTCTTTAAATTTGTACGCTTTCTTCCATAGAACTGAGGAGAAACTTGTGTTTTATGCATGCATACATGTGATATTTTGACCCAAAGTCTTATTAATTACAAAAGCTATGTTTGTATGATTAACGGATTTTACTTTTGTATTTTTTTTTTAAATATACCATTGGCCATGATTTCAAAATCTGTTCCACAGAAACACATGACTCTTCAACTCCAGAAATGTCCAATGCACCACTTGATAAAGTTTTACACCAAATAAAACTTCAGAAAATGAAATAGAGTCGTAATACATTATATGTGGAAACAGAATTTACTGAACATAAAGAAGCTGCAATCACCCTGCTAATAACTAACAAAAGCAATCAAACATAGACTGTACTCTGAGGAACCTGAGAGAATAAAAATATAAAAATAGGAAAAGTATATTTCAACAGGCTAATGAAAATCACATTATTAAAGGTTCTCTACATTTTTAATGACCTGTGTGTGCATTTTAATTAATTTAAATGTTTAAAGCAGTACTCTATGCACATTTTTAATCTAAGATTATTTATGCTATTGATACTGCCTTATTAAGGGCTAGATGTGTAAACAGTTTAGCCTAATTGCCTGTTACTGTATAATTTCATTGAGTCTTGTAACAAAGATTTTAAAATCAAGATAATACATTCTCTCTCGGAAAAATTCCAGTTGCTTTTTCCCTGTTTCAGTGATAAACTTCATATCAAAAGGACCTTAAGTTTTAAATTACGTGTCAGCTTTTACAGGATATTACAACACAATATATGCCTGTCCTTGAAGAAAGTGTTCTAGCTCAGCTATGAGTCATATTTGCACCTACTTAAAAGTAAGCACAGGCATTTGTTAGATCACTATTTAGCTACAAGACACAGAAAAGATTTTAAATCATTTATCACCACCATAGTTCACTCCTATGTAACATTACAGTTAATACAAACATTTATAATTTTGTCTCAAGGATACAATTCCATTACAATATATTTGCTTTTTCCTGAACATGATATAATCCAGATGCCTAAATTTTAAAATTGGATAAACAGTTCACTCTAAACTTTCGTAAGTTTCAAATGTTCACTTACATATACTGAGAAGAGCTAAACAACTATTGACAGTTAATTTTACCTAATTTCCCATATTTTCTGGTTTCTTTTTCTCTATTTTGTCATAAATGCACTGTTTGAATATAGGATTTTTAATTCCATTTATTTCTTTTATATATTCCTCACCTAAGCTCCATGGAACTGACCAATTTATGTTCTCACTTTTACTTCATTTGTGATATAAAGAGAATTTAAATGAAGTGTAATCTTAATCTGAGTAACATGTAAATCAATTTTACACCACCACCACCTCTAAAAGAAAAATTTAAAGTGTTATTTTAATTATTGTAAATGACAATAAGACTATTATTTATGGAAGTTTTCAATAAAGACATTGCCATACTGAATCACTGTAAGAAAGAATGTGAGTCACATAAGACATGGCAGTATTTAAAAGATCTTTTGATATAGGTGAAAGGAGATGAGGCACCACACAAGTTTGATTCCAAATAACACATAAAATACCTGAGGAAGGCAAGGCACTCATTTATACCTAATCCTTTTGACTGGAACAAATACTCAGACAACTAAACTGTTGAGTAAGAATGCACTATTTTAAAAAAATAACTTAGATTAGAACTTCAGTTCAATAAGTGTGCACTACAGGACAGAGTTCTGTGAGTATCTTTGTTTAAAAGACAATTTTAACTCACCCCTTTACCCTCTACAGACTCATCATTCCCTCTGCCATTTATTTCTAACAGCCTAAAAAATAAGACAATTCACATGCAGCATCTAAGGTAGTATCCTTTGTTAGGGGAAAGGAAATATTTAGAAATAATAGATCCAGGAAATTTGAAGTGAAATAAAGGTATTGTTCCGTTATTGGAAAAGATGTTAGTCTCACACCTAAAGTTTTTATTATGGCTAAGCAATAATCTAAATCTAGTACATTCAAACATCCCCACATTTTCTGATGTCTTATTTCTGGAGCTACTCCAGTTTTCTAATCCATTGATTAAATAAAGACATCAGGGCCTCTGGTAGGACTCATTTGGGAAACATAAGATCTGCAGAAACACAGATGCTTGCCAGAACAGTCAACTAACAGTGCTCATGAATTTCAAAGAACAAGAGCAAGCAAGACAGGCATACTACTTGCGTAAAGTTTATATATTCTGGGGGTGAAACGTAACTCCACTGAAGTTTACTATAAAAATCCTGATGACTTCAGTAGAAACAAGAACAAAAAATAAGATTTCATAAGCCAAGAAATACTCACCTGTTCACAAGTTAAAATAAGAAAAAGAGATACCTATAAGAGTCTATAAGATGGAAGTTTCTAACCACTGAATGAAGAACAGGGAAAGTGGAGATGGACTGACTGGCAGGTCCCTCGGTAATTAGTCAGGTGGGGAGACAATACAGAGAATTATTTCCAATATGTGGTGAGAAGTGTTTTATAAAGCAACATAATATATATTTTTTTTAATTTATTTGGAGGTTCAGTAGAATGGGAAGGGACGAAAACAGAAACAAAATGGTATGTTTGTCAGAGGAGAGGTCACTGCCATTATCAGACAGAAGAAATGCCCTTGCAAAAACAGATAAAAACATACAAAAAAAAAATCACCATGGACATATTCCTGTGGAAACAGGGAAAGGAAAGACTGAAGGTGATTCTCACTACATCAACCTAAACTAAAGCTTTTTTTTCTTCTCAAAAAACACAGTTTAAGCTCTAACTGTGGTTCTCAAACAAAAATAAGCCAGTGTTAGTGTTAAGAGCTTAAAAATTTTAGATATTGGAATGTTTTGGAAAAATAAAAAGCACTGTTACATAGTAACAAAATGCAACCTCAATAAATAAACCAAGTAGAATAAAGCAAGCAAAAAAACAAATTCAACAATAAAAAAAAATTTCAATCAGGAATTAATTTTGATTTTGCACAACTTCCAAACTGAAAGAGCAACACACCTTTGGCATATTCAAGCTTTCATTGACTATTAAGCAATCACCAATTTTTTTGCCCTTAGCTTCCCAGATATGACACCTTTTAGATGCAGCTCAAACAGACAGGTTGAAATGCTTGAAAAGTTTGCAAGCACTACAGAATAGGTCAGAATTTCTCCAGTTACAAAAGAAACATAACAGAGCAACAATCATTTATAGCCAGTGCTCTTCCTCTGCAGGGCGATTATATCAGACAGTCGAAAAGTAGCTTGCTAGCTTCAACTAATCTAAGTTCCTATTATTCCCTGAAAAATCAGTTGCGATAGAAACGCATATTAAAAATAAAAAAGCTATTACCTACCTGTCCTATTTACTTTTACTAAGCATTTGTCTCTACATGACAGACTTCTTTCAGTCATGTTGGACAACTGTTTTTCACCAGAGCTTAGTAAAAGTTTAAAGCGTACTTTGGATTAGATACTGAGGAACTGCAAAGAATGCTGCATACCTTGGATATCTCTTGCCTATCTTCTTTGCATCTTTGACTGGATCACATGAAGCACTTTCAGTACCAAAGATTTTTTGCTGCCTGGCTTCCTGAAGAGCTTTCTGGGTAGGACCTTCCAACCCTTTCTTCCTTTGGCATTCATGGCCTGCTATAAAATAAAACCAACAAAAATATTATCATCTGAATGCATTTTTACTTACTCTTCTGGAAAATATCTCTTCACTTAATATTAGCTAGACATGTGAAATTCTAAAAGAAATACCACTTTAAATAAAAATGTATTCAGGTTACTGTGCCATCCACACAAAGTATTCCAAGACTACATATAACTCTGCTCCACAAATTATTTTAGTGTGATCTATTTCAGCTTTCCTAATGGTACCCTGGATTTTGCCCCCAAAATGCAGCAATGATTTTGAAACTTTCAGTACATGAGAGAGTCACAGTAGAATGGATGTAATTCTTCATTTCCCTCAGAGCCCAAACAAACATCTCACTGCATCCTGTCCAGTATCTACCACCAATGCATTATTCTGATTTACAGCCTGCATTCCCTTTTCATAGAATGGTTAGAGTTGGAAGGGACCTTGAAGATCATCTAGTTCCAACCCCCCTGCAGGGAGGGCACCTTCCACTAGACCAAGTCGCTCAAAGCCCCATCCAACCTGGATGAGGAACCATATAACACATATGGAATATTGTACAATGCACCTGCCATGACCTGGCAGAAAGGATACTATTCTCTGACAGTCTTTGTATAGACAGCTTACACATAAACGAATACAGTCCCTTGTGATGCCTGTATCTTGTTGCAATTCCCTGTAGTATGTACATGGGTCTACAGGAAAAAGAATGGCACACTGAATTCCAATGGGATTTGGGCACTTGCATCCCTGCACTTTGAAAAAATCTCAGATTGAAAAACACATCATACAGCTAAAATCCAGACTAAAATAAATTTACTTCACACTATGCATTTCTAAATGCTTGCTCTTGTAAAATAGCTTTAAGACCTTGACACAAAAATGCAAATTTTCTGATTTAAAGGGGAAAATTTCTGATTTAAAGGGGAAAATTCACCCTCTCCACTCTTGAGGCAAAAAAGCAGATCAAGCAAACACAAAACCTTCCTGTATACCCAATGTGAGTAAAACTATAACCGATAAAAAGAACTATTCCTGGTCTAACAAAATGTCTGTATCCTCACTGCTTTAAAAGTTAAAGCTACTGTCCCAGATATCCTGAATAATAACTTTCTTTGAGGAATGGTATACAGCAAAATTGGTTTATATGTCAAATACTTTCACTCGGTAACTGCTACCCGCTAACATGTTGCTCACAGAGTACTTGGTTTGTTGGTGCTTTTGAAATACATATACTTATAAACCAAGAGAGTTATGACAGTTGAAGGGCTTAAGTCAGTAACCATTGAAAAGAAGAAAGTACAAATTCTAAAGAACTATTACAATTGAACTAAGATGTCAAAAGCCTGTGTTTACAGATTTTCTATTCGGATTGCATTGAAGACAGAATAGGGACAACCACGTTTAAGTACTTTAACTGGTGCATTTTAGATTTCTTTTTGCATGACCTTCTAACAGCAATTACATCAGATCAAGGAAAGGAAAAGCACAGTTAACAGTCTTAGCAATGAGTTAATTCAACCATGAGTAAAGAAACTCATTGAGTTCAACTTCTGAATGTAATTGGGTAATAAATAAGCAGCTGTTGTTTTTAGAAAATACAAGAAATGTACTAAGCAAGTAGAGGTTTTACAACATGTTTTTAGAACCAGCTGTTATAGCAGCATTCACTTAAGTTTATAAGCAAGCCACAACCAACATTGCTTAATTCCTTCAGGCAAAAGTGGTCTTTTTTCAGAGCACCACTTAACACTGTGTCTTGATCCATAAGGGTGTAAGCGCTCTGTAAATACACACCAATAACCTAAATAAAAAAATCAGTTATTTCTCTTTGATAATTAGATCCCTCTATGTGTGATCTTGCAACCACATCAGGGAGGACAACATTTAAAACAAAAACAAAACCAGTTTTTAATGCAAATCTTCTTACATAAAACATCCAATCCTTTTTAAAAATAAACTGAACTCAAAATACAACTTTTCTTTCAGAGGTGGCTTCTGAGTGAGCGTAGCAGGGAAATAGTCTACAAGAGGACCAAGTCCTAATCCTAACTGTTATCAAGTTCCTGTTAAACTATTAAATGTCCTTCATATAAACCTTAAACAAGCAAGGTAAGTAAACAGGAAATATAAACTTAAACTTCTAATAATTTTTAAGACACCTGAAGAAAACATTCTCTTGAAGGATTTGTGTACAAAGCACTGTTTGCAAAGCTAAACAGAAGTCTGGCAGTGGGATAGCAAAAAACCCTAACAAATAAATTACACACTCTATATTGTGGATACTAACCTTTTCAATTGTTTGAAATGCATCAGACTGAAAGCTGCTATGTCAAATGCCTAAGTAATAAGTCCAGAATAGCTGTCCTAAAATTAACGTTAACTACTGGGGTTTTTTTTTCTACCTAGCCACCAGACACAAATTTAAAATGCAAACTCATTGTGAATACTATGAAGCTTCCTTTTGTTCTTCATTACACAGGATATGAACCCTCAAAAAAACCAAAAAACAACTATAAACCACAAACCACCAAACAAAAAAACAAACCCACAATTGATTGGATGTGCAGGACCTCATTGCCGCTATTCAAAACCTCAAAGGAGCAGCGACAGGCAATCTCCCGCTGCTGAGAAGAGCCATTCTCATTCCTTCATGCTCTGCACTGCAGTGAAAGCAGACAGCTGTCCAGAAAAGGCACCTTAACTTGGCAAATGATAACTTGCCAATCTGAATGTTCAATATTTTATAATTACAGTGTACCAATGTTCTAATGCATGAAAGTCAGTCCTGAAGAGATGGCAACTGAGAAAGTGCAGCTGTAGGTCTCCATACAGCAGAGATTTGCAAGTCCAACAGCACTGGTTCCTTCCAAACCAAGAACTTAAATTTAGAGAAAAGTGCAGCAAACGTTTCTCCAGTATCTACGCACTGCTTGCTTCTCAAGGTTGTATTTATACTGTCTCAGAAATAATTCAAGAGGCAACAGAACATGACCATCTCTCAAGAGGGCAGCAGAAAGTATCTGAATAAGAAACAATATCACCCACTAAGACACGAGTATGACCTACAGAGGGCAATAAAAATTATGTGACACTAGAGGACAAAGCACTGGAAAGAAATGAAGTGAAATATCACTTAATTTATGATACACAGGGTATGAAGCAAATTAGGGCTTGTACAAGCACGTGGGTGGCTGATGAGCTTAGTAATTTGTGTTGTAGACTAAGTGATATTTTTTATTATTTTATTTATTTATAAAGTGCCCCCCTGCTTGTCAATTTTTTGGTATTATAAATTGCTCTCAAGATTTTTGAAGAATAAACAAGTACTGTGAACAACCAGAGAGTGTATTTTTAGAATTGCTCAAACAACAAGTATGTGAAACATGGAGACACAGATGGGGCATCTATACTGTAAAACACTGGCATGTAAGAAGAACCCACACTATATATCCCCCAAGCCAGAGTATAATGAAAAGTTGAAAGCTATATGCACTAAACTAACATCAAATAAAAAGCCTGTTCTCTACCTCCCTATCTGAAGTGGGATGAAAATAAGCACTGTGCTCTTTAGTGGTGCAGAGGTTTATACTTTTAATTGTAACAAGATTTAAAGGCTATAGCAGAGCATATCCAGTCAATACAGCCACAGAAAGGTATTTTGGGGGCCTGAAATGTGCCTTGCCGAGGAGTATGATACTAATTCATACAAAAAAGGCACCAGAATCCAAAACCAGAAAGATACTGTGAAGACTAAAGAGGCTCACCGCCAGTACTTCAGTATTCCACCATGTCAACATATCTGAAGTCTATATTTACAGAATCTATTAGTTTAGTAGCTATTTGTTTGTATACAGAATTAAAATCATAGCTTAGTTTATACTGGGTAAGATTACAGAACCCGTCCAGGTTCTTCCAGAAGTGATAGCAGCTAATATATTAGTTTAGTAGCTATTTGTATATGGAATTAAAATCATAGCTTAGTTTACACTGGGTAAGATTGCAGAACCCATCCAGGTTCTTCCAGAAGTGATAGCAGCTATGTTCTTAACAGAACAGTAGCTTCGAAAAGTAGAGTGTGCTCCAAGAGACTCCTCAGCTATTTAAGCCTCCCACTGCTGCATGGAAACAAAAACCTGAGCTAAGATGAGGGGCAGCTTTCAGGGGATCAGACCTCAGTCCAGTCCTCATAGCAATTCACAAGAATTTAGGAGACCAACTGCTTCAATCTACATTAGATAGAATATGAAGGAAAAAAATTAAACCAAGTGTGCTATGCTCATAATGGGCAGATAGTAGCAAAGATCTGGATGATAGCTGAAATGTCTGCATTAATAGTAAATTAACATCTTAATAGTCAAGGAAGTGCTTGGTATCCTCTTCACTCAACAACAAATCCGAAAAGAAACAAAAAAAGTTTGTGGCTACTAGCCTTCTTCTCAGCCTTGTCTTTTCTACAGGAATTTTATACAATGGAAGTAACTCCATGAATGTGGGAACTAAAGAAGCATGACTGTCAAAGGCTGGGGTAACTCAGTGGCTATTTACCTGGGGCATATTAGCAGAGAAAAAGGAAGTTTAGTCCTTTAACACACCAGAGAAAAAAAAAACCAAAAGAAACAGATATAAAAAATGTCCTAATTGCACTAACTGCTTCACCTCAAAGTTGTATAATATTTGATACCTGATCACCTATGCAACTGAGAAATTTGGAGTTCTCTAATGTCAAATAAACTACAATCTCTGATTGAAGTTCTGCTCATGACTAAGGCAGGTGCAACATCCCCTTCTCAAGTGAATATTCTGTTGTCAAAGAAGGTAGAGCTCACTGTGTCCCTGATTCATTATCCCATTTATTTTCAGGAGTCTTTTAGAAATCTGGTTTAATTTAAGACTTAGCTAATGTCAAATGTAGCTGAAATTGGAAAATAGGTTCAAAATTATTAGTAGGAGAGATGCTCGCAAAGAATGTAATAGCATGGGCCTCATTTACTGAGGAAGCCAGAGGTGCTAGGTTATTTTCCTGATGGAGTTAGAAAAATAATTTAATAATTATGCATTTACTCAAAACACCAGAGAAATAATATCATACCATACTGTATGGTACGACACTATTTCTCTGGTGTGGATAAAGATATTATTCCAGCAGGACTTACATAACCTTAGCAAACTCCTGTAAAAATGCGACATGCTAAAATAAGAGGCTGGATTTCATAACACCAGTGTTTTCCAAACGTTTCCAGATGACCATCTGTACTTTCCTATAGTGAGGTGAAAAAGAACACTTTTGTGAAAAAAAAAAAAAAAAAAGTGTTACAGGGTAAAATAAAATCAGACACAAAATACATTTCTACGACAAAGTCATAGGATGGTTTGGGTTGGAAGGGACCTTGAAGATCATCTAGTTCTAACCCCCCTGCCATGGGTAGGGACACCTCCCACTAGAACTGGTTGCTCAAAGCCCCATCCAACCTGTACACTTCCAGGGATGGGGCACCCACAATTTCCCTGGGCAACCTGTTCCAATGTCTCACCACCCTCACGGTGAAAAATTTCTTTCTAATATCTAATCTAAATCTACCCTCTTTTGGTTTAAAACCATTACCCGTCATCCTATCACTACACTCCCTGATAAAGGGTCCTTTTCTACCTTTCCTGGAGGCTCCCTTTAGCTGCTGGAAGGATGCTATAAGGTCTTCCCGGAGCCTTCTCTTCTCCCGGCTGAACCACCCCAACTCTCTCAGCCTGTCCTCATAGGAGAGGTGCTCCATCCCTCTGATCATCTTCATGGCCCTCTTCTGGACTCGCTCCAACGGGTTCATGTCCTCCTTAGATTGGGGACCCTAGAGCTGGATGCAGTACTCCAGGTGGCGTCTCACCAGAGCAGTGTAGAGGGGCAGAACCACCTCCCTCGACCTGCTGGATGCATTTCTTTTGATGCAGCGCAGGATATGGTTGGCTTCCTGGGTTGGGAGCATGCATTGCTGGGTCATGTTGAGCTTCTCATCAACCAACATTCTGTGAACACCCCTCAAGTCCTTCTCCTCAGGGCTGCTCTCAATCCATTCTCCACCCAGCCTGTGTATGTGCTTGGGATTGCCCTGACCCACGTGCAGGATCTTGCACTTGGCCTTGTTGAACTTCATGAGGTTCACACAGGCCCACCTCTCAAGCTTGTCCAGGTCCCTCTGAATGGCACCCCTTTCCCGCCAGCACGTTGACTGCACCACACAGCTTGGTGTCATCGGCAAACTTGCTGAGGGTGAACTCAATCCCACTGTCCATGTTGACAACAAAGATGGTAAATAGTACCGGTCCCAGTACCAATCCCTGAGGAACGCCACTCATCACTGGTTGCCACTTGGACATCAAGCCATTGACTGTAATTCTTTGAGTATGGCCATCCAGCGAATTCCTCATCCACTGAGTTGTCCACTGTCAAATCCATGTGTCTCCAATTTAGAGACAAGGATGTCATGCAGGACTGCGTCAAATGCCTTGCACAAGTCCAGGTAGATGATGTCAGTTGCTCTTCCCTTATCCACCAATTCTGTAACACCAATTCTTGCTGAGGGTGAACTCAGTCCTACTGTCCATGTCGCCAAAGATGTGAAACAGCACTGGTCCCAGTACCAGCCCCCCAAGAATGCCACTCATCACTAGTCTCCACTCGGCTCAAGGCCCAAGTGGAGACCAATGACAAGTGGCTTTTTTTCAGGAGTCTGTAAAGTCCTTCCATAATTACTCACATTTTCCATATTGCTATGAGCAGTCTCAGTGTCCTTCATGGGTGCATTTTAGAATAAATATTCAAATGATAAAATTGCTGGTCTGTCACCATGACAGCTAATAAAATGTTTATAGTGCCCGTATTTTTGATTTACTGTTACACCAGACTTTTAAACGCATCACAAAAACAAAAAAAACATAACCAGTCTGAGCTTGGTGATGGGAATATTTTACCTTTTGTCACAGGAATTTGAGTAGCACATCCAGACTCTAAATTTTGTAATGTGGCTTGCAAACCTGTAACCTAATTTTGAAAAGGGGAGAGAACAAGAAGAGATATTATGAAAACACATTGGTATTGAACTGTTCACAACACACAGCATTTATATCTGCCTATTTAAGTAATACATTCCATCTATAATTTTTTACTTTTCTGATTATTGCCTATAAATTATAAACATTACTCCTAATTTGAGATTTTGGAACGGCCCAATGAAACAATGCAATAAAACATGAGCCATTCAGAATATTTAAAAATATTTTTATAGCTCTATTAAAACAATGAAGACATGTAAAATACTACAGATATTACTGCATCATCAACTTCTAACCACTGCTATCACTGCACTGATCTTTAACTTAATGGCATAGTATGACATACAAATTTGTCACAAGAAAATGCCACAAAATATGGTGTTATGTGTTACAAAAAAGTCATCACTCCAGAATACTTATTGTTCATAACCACATAGGTCTTACGTATGTTCCAGATATTTCATAGCATTGGAACTGTTCTATGCTTTGTAATCCTGATAACTGTACATGCACATTAACCTTTTTTTTTTTTCTTTAGAACATTTTCTTTTACTTCTGAAATGTCAAACATGTAATCCTCAGGTTTTAAAAAGTAAGCTATCAGGCGATCTGAGAAAAACTGGAGGCAGAGGAATGGAGGAAACAAGAGATGAGGTCTATTAGAAGAAAGTACAAGCATGGTAAATTCCTTTCATGTTACCCACATATACTTGATGCTACTGCTGAGATGCAATGCATTTTGGGAGCCCCCCCCTCCTTTTTTTTTCCCCCTCCTCTGTTTTGAACAAACAATCTATCGGTAAAACACATGCAAGATAATTTTTTGTTCTTTCATCTATCTTATCTGTGCTTGTAACAGTTCCTGCTAAAGGGGCAGAATAACATGTATACAAACCCATACATCAGATAAGATTATAGGAGTAAAACACCGCTCTATTATTCCACTCACAAGACAGAAAAACTGCGTCTGATATCTTAATGTATTTTTTCCTAAACTAGTAGGTCATTCCTGGATATATTTAGGAAAAAATAAAATAGTAAACAGTAATAAAGAAAATTAAAATAACAGATTTCTAAAGGCACAGATGGAAGCATACGAATCTGTGGAAATATCACACCTTTCCTCAAGTTGCTGACACTGAAAGCATAACAGGGTCTGCACGTTGCTGCCTCACACGGAGCAGCACTGAGCAAGTACAGAGTGAGAACTCCTACTTTGTGGCACTAACTCTATGCAAATGCACACAGCACGCGGAATAAACAGGAGTCAGAGATATGGGCATGCCTGCAGGGCTATGGTCTTACCGCATCGCAGAGAAGTTGTGGGATGGCTCCTATGACTGGAGTGTTGGAATGGAAGGATACAGGCTCTTCAGGAAGGACAAGCAAGGGAGACGAGGAGTGGGTGTCACCCTTTATGTCAAGGGCTAGCTGGAGTGCATGGAGTTCTGTCTGGGAATGGATGAGGAGCCATCTGACAGTTCACAGGTCAAGATTAAAGGGAGGGCAGGGGGAGGTGATGTTACAGCAGGGCCACAGGCCATCCGACCAGGAAGACCAAGCGAATGAGGCCCTCTACAGACAGGAGCAGCCTCATGTTCACAAGCCCTGGTCCTCATGGTGGATGGACTTCAACCACCCTGATACCTGTTGGAGGGACAACACATCAGGGCATAAGCAATCCAGGAAGTTCCTGGAATGCATCAATGATAACTTCGTTCTACAAGTAACTGAGGAGCCAACGAGGAGAAGAGCCATGCTGGACCTTGTTCTCACCAACAAGGAGGTAGGGAATGTCAAGCTCAAGGGCAGCCTTGGTTGCAGTGACCATGAAATGGTGGAGTTCAAGATCCTTAGGACAGCAAGGAGGGCACACAGTAAGCTTGCTACCCTAGACTTCAGAAGAGCAGACTTTGGCCTCTTCAGGCATCTGCTTGGTAGAGTACCAGGGATAAAGCCCTGGAGGGAAGAGGGGCCCAAGAAAGCTGGTTAGTATTCAACAATAACCTCCTCCAAGCTCAGAAGCCATGCTCCCACCAAAGAGGAAGTAAGGCAAAAATACCAGGAGTCCTGCATGAATGAACAAGGAGCTCTTGGACAAACTCAAACAGAAGAAGGAAGCCTACAAAAGGTGGAAGCAAGGATAAGTAGCCTGGGAGGAACACTGAGAAATTGTCTAAACAGCCAGGGATCAGGTTAGGAAAACTAGAGCCCAGACAGTTAAATCTGGCCAGGGACATCAAGGGCAACAAGAAAAGCTTCTACAGGCACATCAGTGATAAAAGGCACACTAGGGAAGATGTGGGGTGTCTCCAGAAGAAAACAGAAGACCTGGTCACCCAGGACACAGACAAGGCTAAGGTACTCAACAACTCTTTTGTCTCGGTCTTCACCAGCAAGCGCTCTAGTCACACTGCCCAAGTCACAGAAGGCAAAGGCAGGGACTGGGAGAATGAAGAACTGCCCATTGTAGGAGAAGATCAGGTTTGAGACCGTGCAAGAAACCTGAAGGTGCACAAGTCCATGGGACCTGATGAGATCCATCCGTGGTTCCTGAGGGAACTGGCAGATAATGTTGCCAACCCACTATCCGTCGTATTTGAGAAGTCATGGCAGTCTGGTTAAGTTCCCACTGACTGGAAAAGGGGAAACATAACCCCCATTTTTAAA